ACTGCCACCGCACCCCTCTACACTACTCATCTCACTCACCGCATCCCCGTACACTACTCCACTCACTGCCACCACACCCCTGCTACACTACTCTACTCACTGCCACCGCACCCCACTACACTACTCCACTCACTGCCACTGCACCCCTGTACACTACTCTACTCACTGCCACTGCACCCCACTACACTACTCTACTCACTGCCACTGCACCCCACTGCACTACTCCACTCACTGCCACCGCACCCCTGTCTACACTACTACTCTACACTACCACTGCCACTGCACCCCTGTACACTACTCCACTCATCACTGCACCTCTCTACACTACTCTACCCGTCAGTGCATCCCTGTACACTACTCTACTCGTCACTGCATCCCTGTACACTACCTGTACACTACACTACTCCCCGTGCACCCCTGTACACTACTCTACTCATCCTGCACCCCTGTACACTACCTACTCATCACTGTACACTCTCTACACTACTCTACTCCCCAGTGCACCCCTGTACACTACTCTACTCCCCAGTGCATCCCTGTACACTACTCTACTCCCCAGTGCACCCCTGTACACTACTTCTACTCCCCAGTGCACCCCTGTACACTACTCTACTCCCCAGTGCACCCCTGTACACTACTCTACTCCCCAGTGCACCCCTGTACACTACTCTACTCCCCAGTGCACCCCTGTGCACTATTCTACTCCCCAGTGCACCCCTGTACACTACTCTACTCCCCAGTGCACCCCTGTACACTACTCTACTCCCCAGTGCACCCCTGTACACTACTCTACTCCCCAGTGCACCTCTCTACACTACTCTACTCTCCGCCATTGCATCCACACACACTACTCCGCTTGCTGCTACTGCATCCATGTGCACTACTCCATTTGTTAGCAATGCACCACAACCCCACTGTACAAATGCGCGCTTCCTCTCCACCACTGTGAATCATCCCACTCGCTTCCATTACTTTCATCCCATTTAATAAATGGATGCACACTGGCCACCAATGACCCAACAAACACAACCCCACTCACCGACAAGAACTTCTTTGCTCTAAGCAGCCGCACCAATGTGCACTCCTTCACTCTTTGTCATCGCATCGCCACGCACTTCTGCCCTCACCGCCACTTCATGGACGTGGAATTCCACGAGCAGCTCAATCAACGAACAGGCACATTCCTCTAACATTATAGTAAATCATATTACATCGCGTTCACTAGGTGTTGGTTCTGAACGTCAGCTCTAAACTGCCCGAGAATTAAGTTTAACCCTTTTGCGCCGGAGCTGTTTTTTTTGCACTTTGGGCCTGAAGATGACCTAATACCCCCCCAAATGTTATACGTATATCTTCTGAGAGCAGACATGAGCATAAAATAGTAGTAGTTCCAATTGTTAGGTCTCATGATAGGTCTCATAATATTAGTGCGACAGTTTATGAAACATCAAGTTTCAGTTAAAAAAAATACACTAAAGTTAATTTTGGGGCATTCCAGTGTGACAGGCAATCTACAACATGTATTGTACCTGTGCATGGAAGCCCAATCAACATTGCAGGCTGCTGGAGTGGGAGGTATGGTGGACACACAGGTTAAAGACACGAGTACCGCAGGGGTTGAACCTTAGTTGGGACTTTGATTTATACCTTAAGTAACTTGTGTGTTGCAACCTGTGACAGGAGTCACTTTGGTTGGGGGGCCCATGGAACCCAGCTCACTTTGGAGAGGTGGGGAGACCCCTTTCTCAGCTCCCCATATCCCTCTTATGTGTAAGTCACCCTGTGCCTGTCAGGTTGATCCGTCCTAATATTGGGGTGGGGGAATTGTTAAGTGTTTAATGTCATGTGGTTGTATCCCATTCTTCTATTGTGTGTCTTGCTTGGGAGCAAACTATTATGGGATGTATGTGTTTGTATGTATTGGCTTGGTGGGGGTGTCTCCAGCAGCCCTCCCTCCTGATGGGACTGTCTGTTGGTGTGTCCCTTGTTACTAAATGTAGATTGCCCCGCCCCGTGTCAATATGCAGGGAGGGGGGATTGTCCCCTTGAGTGTATATATCTTGGATCTGTGTTCAAATAAACTAGTCTACTTCCTGGTTTACTTTAAGACTGGTGTTCTCTAGTCTTGTATGGTCTGCTGTGGTGTCAGTGGTCGGTGTTCGGACGGTAAAGCAGGAGTCTAGTGAAACTACCCAAGCTCAGTCTGGGGTCGGTCCTGTTACACAACCTCTGTTGGCTGGACGTCTCGCTCAGATCATTAGGGACTAAATTCTTTGGTTTCAAATAGTTTACTATGGCTTTTTTTGGCAGAGTGTGATATACAGTCAGGTCCATAAATATTGGGACATGGACACAATTCTAACATTTTTGGCTCTATACACCACCACAATGGATTTGAAATGAAACGAACAAGATGTGCTTTAACTGCAGACTGTCAGCTTTAATTTGAGGGTATTTACATCCAAATCAGGTGAACGGTGTAGGAATGACAACAGTTTACATATGTGGCTCTCACTTGTTAAGTGACCAAAAGTAATGGGACAATTGGCTTCTCAGCTGTTCCATGGTCCAGGTGTGGGTTATTCCCTCATTATCCCAATTACAATGAGCAGATAAAAGGTCCAGAGTTCATTTCAAGTGTGCTACTTGCATTTGGAATCTGTTGCTGTCAACTCTCAAGATGAGATCCAAAGAGCTGTCACTATCAGTGAAGCAAGCCATCATTAGGCTGAAAAAACAAAACAAACCCATCAGAGAGATAGCAAAAACATTAGGCGTGGCCAAAACAACTGTTTGGAACATTCTTAAAAAGAAGGAACGCACCGGTGAGCTCAGCAACACCAAAAGACCCGGAAGACCACGGAAAACAGCTGTGGTGGATGACCGAAGAATTCTTTCCCTGGTGAAGAAAACACCCTTCACAACAGTTGGCCAGATCAAGAACACTCTCCAGGAGGTAGGTGTATGTGTGTCAAAGTCACCAATCAAGAGAAGACTTCACCAGAGTGAATACAGAGGGTTCACCACAAGATGGAAACCATTGGTGAGCCTCAAAAACAGGAAGGCCAGATTAGAGTTTGCCAAACGACATGTAAAAAAGCCTTCACAGTTCTGGAACAACATCCTATGGAGAGATGAGACCGACATCAACTTGTACCAGAGTGATGGGAAGAGAAGAGTATGGAGAAGGAACTGCTCATGGTCCTCAGCATACCACCTCATCAGTGATCATGGTGGTGGTAGTGTCATGGCGTGGGCATGTATGGCTGCCAATGGAACTGCTTCTCTTGTATTTATTGATGATGTGACTGCTGACAGAAGCAGCCGGATGAATTGTGAAGTGTTTCGGGAATATTATCGGCTCATATTCAGCCAAATGCTTCACAACTCATTGGACGCTTCACAGTGCAGATGGACAATGACCCAAAGCAGACTGCAAAAGCAACCAAAGAAGTGGAATGTTCTGCAATGGCCAATCCACACTGACCTGAATCCGATTGAGCATTTCACTTGCTGAAGACAAAACTGAAGGGAAAATGCCCCAAGAACAAGCAGGAACTGAAGACAGTTGCAGTAGAGGCCTGGCAGAGCATCACCAGGGATGACACCCAGCGTCTGGGGATGTCTATGCGTTCCACACTTCAGGCTGTCATTGACTGCAAAGGATTTGCAACCAAGTATTAAAAAGTGAAAGTTTGATTTATGATTATTATTCTGTCCCATTACTTTTGGTCCCTTAACAAGTGGGAGGCACATATGCAAACTGTTGTAATTCCTACACCGTTCACCTGATTTGGATGTAAATACCCTCAAATTAAAGCTGACAGTCTGCAGTTAAAGCGCATCTTGTTCATTTCATTTCAAATCCATTGTGGTGTATAGAGCCAAAAATGTTAGAACTGTGTTGATGTCCCAATATTTATGGACCTGACTATATATATATATATATATATATATATATATATACACACAGGTGTACCTCGGTTTATGAACACCTCGTAACATAGTTTACGAATGAAAATCCATTGAAAATAAAGCCTCAGTTTACAAATTTTTTTCGCAATATCAACGGATTAATTGGTTTTCGATGCATTTACTAATTTTTTTTAAATCATGTCCCTGTACAGTATTTATGCCTTTAAAGTGAACAGATAAAATACTTTTTTTTTACTTTTTTCTGACCTCCGGAACAGATTAATTGGTTATCATTGCATACCTAAGGGAAACCGCGTTTCGGTTTATGAATTTTGTGCAATACGAGAAGACCCGCAGAACTAATTAAATTTGTAAACCACAGTACGCCTGTATATATATATATATATATATATATATATATATATATATATATACACACACACAGGGCTGTGGATAAGGGGGGTACCACCAGTCCTCCTGTATTGGGCCCAGCCCAGCAGGGGGGCCGAGGAATCTGGTTGAATCAGATACGGGCAGAGAGGGCGGCTTCTTCTCCTCTCCCTCCCACTGGCTTTCAGCTGCAGCAGAGAGAGCCATACAGCGGGTCAGTTCCAGTAATTGCCCCCCCCACCCACACCCATTACCCTCCCTGTGCACCATACGTTTCCCCCTGCTGCCCAGGCCCCCCTATGTGCCCCCAACCCCGCAGTGCTTCCAGCTCCCCTCCTCTCCTTTTCCACCGGCACCTGAAAGCACACAATAGGATCCTTCAGGATGGAGAGTGATCTGCTAATTATGTCATATTTACCAGCCCTTTCCTTTCCTGAATGAACACAATGAGTGATCAGTAACAATTACTTACTGTATTAATTCATAACTGAAGCTTTTTTTTGTTTTTGCTGGAGGGGCCCTGCCAGGTTTTCTGTATGGGGCCCCATGGTCTCTAACAGTAGCCCTGTATACACAGTCACTCACTTTCTTCTTTTTTTTAGGGGCAATTTTAGCCCAATTCTATTTAAAAGAAAGTTCCATAAATTTCTCCCACAGGGGTTTTCAGCATTTCACTCTTAAAAAAAATTGGGCACCTGAATCACATGATTGGAGGGGATTGGAACACCTGAATCACATGATTGGGAGGGGATTGGAACACCTGAATCACATGATGATTGGGAGGGATTGGAACACCTGAATCACATGATATGGAGGGGATTGGAACACCTGAATCACATGATATGGAGGGGATTGGAACACCTGAATCACATGATTGGAGGGGATTGGAACACCTGAATCACATGATTGGGAGGGGATTGGAACACCTGAATCACATGATTGGGAGGGGATTGGAACACCTGAATCACATGATTGGGAGGGGATTGGAACACCTGAATCACATGATTGGGAGGGGATTGGAACACCTGAATCACATGATTGGGAGGGGATTGGAACACCTGAATCACATGATTGGGAGGGGAACACCTGAATCACATGGGGAGGGGATTGGAACACCTGAATCACATGATTGGGAGGGGATTGGAACACCTGAATCACATGATTGGGAGGGGATTGGAACACCTGAATCACATGATTGGGAGGGGATTGGAACACCTGAATCACATGATTGGGAGGGGATTGGAACACCTGAATGATTGGGACATGATATGGAGGGGATTGGAACACCTGAATGACATGATTGGGAGGGGATTGGAACACCTGAATCACATGATATGGGAGGGATTGGAACACCTGAATGCACATGATTGGGAGGGGATTGGAACACCTGAATCACATGATTGGGAGGGGATTGGAACACCTGAATCACATGATATGGAGGGGATTGGAATACCTGAATCACATGATATGGAAGGGATTGGGACACCTGAATCACATGATATGGGAGGGGATTGGGACACCTGAATCACATGATTGGGAAGGGATTGGAACACCTGAAGCAAATTATTGGGAGGGGATTGGAATACCTGAATCACATGATATGGAAGGGATTGGGACACCTGAATCACATGATATGGAAGGGATTGGGACACCTGAATCACATGATTGGGAGGGCAGGGCCAATATAGTGCATAATAGAATAGGAGTGGATTTACTTTTGGCACCTGTAATAAGACGGTGTGCAGTGGCTAGCGGGGTCCTGTACTCAGACATGTGTTGTAAGCAGACGTTTGGGACTCACTGGGGGGGATAATTTGTTTTTTTTTTTCCAAGAAAACTCATCCAGAATAAAACAAACAATTAAACATGAATTCCCGATACACGTATCACTGGACTCGCACGTTTTGTCTGACGTTCTTATCACAGTACGAAGTTCGAGGGAAGTGACGCGGAACCCTTGTGGCCTTCGGTGCTCAGTAACCTCCATTAATCCCAATCTCTTCTCCAGAGCTGTAGCCTTGGCTGCCATCCGTAGATTAGGATGAAGATAAGGACCATAACAGCATTATGGATCCAGATGTTCTGGCCGGTTCCCGTCAGCGCATTGTCTTACCATAATCCCCTCGGATTTTACACCCGCGCCTTCCCAGCCTCCAGAAATAATGATACCATTTGCAATGCAATTTAAAAAAGAGCAGATTCAAGCCGTCGGAAAGGAGATTTTTCTTTTTTGTTGTGTTGGTTTGTGATTATATTCTAAGGAAAGTTGTATTAGATGCTGCCGTTCTTCTCACCTAAAGAGCTGCAGCACCGGAGGGACACAATCATACATTTTGATGACATTCAGCTGGCTGGAGATTGCAGAGGTCTGGGCTGAATTGTATTATGATTTCAATTATTTTTAGCGTGGCTGTTGGATCCGGAAAATGACAGAAGCATCTGCTGAGTGACAATGATCAGTGAGGAATATACATTGAATTGCCTGAATGGCGTTGGGTTCCAGGATGCATCATTAGGTGCAGCACAGTCTCTATGTTGTGTAGCACCCTCCTAAAATACAGTCGTGGCCACAAATCTTCTGTATTTCTGTCCGATAATCCACCACTTCACCCTGAAAATTGTTGCAATTACAAATCTTTTGGCATTCTCATTTTTATTTCTTTTGCTTGTATCGGTGACACAAAAAAGTGAAGAAACAAAAATCCGAATCTGACCCATTCCACGTAAAAAAACCCCAAAATGGACTGGACAAAATTATTGGCACCCTCCATGTAATATTTGGTAGCGCACCCCTTGGAAAAAATCACTGGAATCAATGGCTTCCTGTAACCATCAATGGGTTTCTTCCACCTCTCTCCTGGAATTTTGGATCGCTCTTCTTCCTCCGACTGCTCCAGGTCTCTCAGATTGGAAGGTTCCTTTTCCCAACTGATGTACCGAGATCTCTCCACAGGAGCTCCATGGGATGGAGATCTGGACTCATTGTTGGCCAGTTGAGTCCTCTCCAGTGCTTTGTCTGACACCATTTCTGGGAGCTTTCTGACGTGCGCTTTGGGTCATTGTCCTGCTGGAAGACCCATGACCTCGGATGGAGACCCAACTTTCTGTGGTCAGCAGTGGAGTCTGCCTGGTCTCCTACCATATTTCTGTGACACTAAATTGCACCCGAGAATTCTTTGGTAGTCTTCAGATTTTATACATGGTCTAGACATCCAGTGCCTGATGCAGCAAAGTAACCCCAAAACATCAGTGACCCCCCATCATGTGTGACTGGAGGGACTGGATTCTATCCTTTAAAGGCCTCATTGCTTTTTCTGAAAACAGTAGAATGATGGGCTTTACCAAAAAGCTGCCATTTTGTTCTGTCTGTCCACAGCACATTCTCCCAGAAGGATTTTGGCTTCCTCAGGTAAGTTTTGCAAACTCCAATCTTGCTCTATTTGTTTCTGTGTCAGGAGTCCTCCTGGGTCCTCCTCCCACCATATTTCTGTGTCAGCAATGGGGTCCTCCTGGGTCTCCTCCCATATTTCTGTGTCAGGAGTCCTCCTGGGTCTCCCACCATATTTCTGTGTCAGCGGTGGGGTCCTCCTGGGTCTCCTCCTACCATATTTCTGTGTCGGCAGTGGGGTCCTCATGGGTCTCCTCCCATATTTCTGTGTCGGCAGTGGGGTCCTCCTGGGTCTCCCCCCCATATTTCTGTGTCAGCAGTGGGATCCTCCTGGGTCTCCCACCATATTTCTGTGTCAGCAGTGGGGTCCTCCCAGGTCTCCCACCATATTTCTGTGTCGGCAGTGGGGTCCTCCCGGGTCTCCTCCCATATTTCTGTGTCGCAGTGGGGTCCTCCCGGGTCTCCTCCCATATTTCTGTGTCGGCAGTGGGGTCCTCCCGGGTCTCCTCCCATATTTCTGTGTCGGCAGTGGGGTCCTCCTGGGTCTCCTCTCATATTTCTGTGTCGGCAGTGGGGTCCTCCTGGGTCTCCTACCATATTTCCGTGTCAGCAGTGGGGTCCTCCTGGGTCTCCTACCATATTTCTGTGTCGGCAGTGGGGTCCTCCTGGGTCTCCCACCATATTTATGTGTCAGCAGTGGGTCCTCCTGGGTCTCCCACCATATTTCTGTGTCAGCAGTGGGGGGTGTCCTCCTGGGCCTCCTACCATATTTCTGTGTCAGCAGTGGGATCCTCCTGGGTCTCCCCCATATTTCTGTGTCAGCAGTGGGGTCCTCCTGGGTCTCCCACCATATTTCTGTGTCAGCAGTGGGGTCCTTCATGGGTCTCCTACCATATTTCTGTGTCAGCAGTGGGGTCCTCCTGGGTCTCCCACCATATTTCTGTGTCAGCAGTGGGGTCTTCATGGGTCTCCTACCATATTTCTGTGTCAGCAGTGGGGTCCTCCTGGGTCTCCTACCATATTTCTATTTCACCATTCCAACAATCTTTCGTTGCAATCTTTCATCAGAGATTAGCTACAGTGCCATGAGCTGGAAACTTCCTGACAATGTTGCGCACAGTGGACACAGGAACGTTAGGATCTCTGGAGATGGACTTGTAACCTTGAGATTGTCCATCATTTCCACCATTTTTGTTCTCCAATCCCCAGACAATTCTTTGCTGCTCTTCCTCTCCTCCATGCTCCATGTGGCACACAGAGACACACAACAGAAAGGTGGAGTCCATCTTTCACCATTGTACCTGGTTGTCGGTGTGATTTCTATGTTGTCAGCTCCTGGTCATGGTTACAGGTGACATAATATAGAATAAAAAAGGGGCGAGACTGTAAAACATACAATGACACCAGATGGGGGAAATAGTCAGAACAGAAGTTATTTCATTCACTAACTCAGGTGCGGGTCACAGTACCCAAAATTGTGCACTAGAAAACATGTTCATGGGGGAACAATCACTTTAACGATTAGGGAAACCCGGGTTGGATGTAAAAAGTACACAATGTCCCCAACATGGTATATCACTAGACTCTACGCCACCACGGCCAGGAATATAGACCCATTAATTACCATCATCAAAGTATGCATGGAGGCAGAGTCAAGATGTAATGTGGGGGACAAATCCTTGTTAATGCAAAGCTGAGATTAAAAATCAAATACATGTAGCCATCTAAAGTAGGGCATTGAAGATGTAAAAATCTTCCTCAATCAGTTATGCAAGTGAAGGATAAAGAAGGATCAAAAACATCACAAAATCCAGCCTCCCTCATACATGTGGTGTGGAGATGACACCTGGATCATTGGAATACAGACGTAGCTAGGCATCAATGAAAGCCATGATGGCGCACGGGTGTCAAACTGGCGGCCCTCCAGCTGTTGCCAAACTACAAGTCCCATGAGGCATTGCAAGATTGACAGTTACAAGCATGACTCCCAAAGGCAGAGGCATGATGGGACTTGTAGTTTCGCAACAGCTGGAGGGCCGCCAGTTTGACACCCCTGGGCTAGTAGATAGAGCACCATGTGGTGAACAAGAACATGATCACCATGAATTATGCAGGCGGAAATCTCATAGGAGAACATGGTTAGGCTCGGGCCAAGTTAACAGTATTGGCATTAATACTGCATGCAGGGCTGTGGATAAGGGGGTACCACCATCCCTCCTGTATTGGGCCCAGCCCAGAAGGGAGACCCAGGCAGCTGGTTGAATCAGATGTGGGCAGAGAGGGGCGGCTTCTTCTCCTCTTCCTCCCACTGGCTTTAAGCTGCAGCAGAGAGAGCCATACAGCGAGTCGGTTCCAGTAATTGCCCCCCCCCACTGCACCCATCAACCTCCCTGTGCACCATACGTTTCCCCCTGCTACCCAGGCCCCCCTGTGTGCCCCCACCCCATAGTGCTTCCGGCTCCCCTCCTCTCCTTTCCACCGCCAGCTGCAACTCACAATAGGATCCTTCAGGATGGAGAGTGGGGAAAGGTCTGCTAATTAGGCCTTTCCTGAATGAACACAATGAGTGATCAGTAACAATTACTCACTGTTCATTCATAACTGAAGCATTTTTTTTTTGCGGAGGGGCCCTGACAGGTATTCTGTATGGGGCCCCGTGGTTTCTAACAGCAGCTCTGGCTGTATGCGCAGGAAAAATGCCTCAGATAGTGACCATTGGGCCACAGTGATAGCAGATGGAGTAGCTAAAATATTGAGACTAAGATCCAGTCCAAGTAACAAAGTTCAGTGGGGACCCACGGTGGAGTAAATGGAGGATAAAATTGGATAGTGTTCCCACTCACATTCCAGATGACACCGGGGTCCGAGCATGCTCAACGCATGATGTCCGCATGCCAAAAGGCATTAGAATTGACATTGTCTCGTTTTCTGATGGCTATCACCGTCTCGAGGCAAAGGGCAACCACATGGACAGTCCATCGTCCAAGCTCCACGTTAACCCCTCATCACTCCCTCCGGGTTGAAGACAGATCCACACTTCAGTATAGTGGGGCTAGTCAATGTTCCACAGCAGTCAGCCGGACAGATGGGTTATGCATAGCTGGACATTGAGACCAGGTCCC